AGCAAGGGGTTGCTCCGCGATGGGTGCTCTGCGATGGAAAACTCTGGTTTTTGCATTCTTTCTTCCATATGCTCCTTCTGGTGCATTCCAACTCGTTCTACACCTGAAATAACTCAAAACACACTAAGAATACTCCAGAAAAGCACAAAAGTGATATGCAAAGTATGTGTGTAATATGTCAAAAACACAACATATCAATGAACCATACAAAGTTTTTTATACAAAATTCATTAAGTTTCATCAAAATTTATTTCAGTCTCGTTGCTTTGTTTGTAGGATTTACAAATCATCCATCTACTTACAAGAAAAGCTTTCAGGCGCAACATGGCTCATTTTGAAGCTGAACTTAAACTTGCTCAGAATTTTATATTTATCTCTGAAGGAACTATAGACTAAAATTGGTGAGTTTTTTCAACTTTTCGTTACTCTTTGGTCTTTTATTTTGTTTTAAGTTAGTTTATGTTTCTCTCTTTTGATTAGTGGATCCCAAATTCAAATTGAATTGGTTGTTGATGATGAGCTTCATTATGGAGCACAAGATCAAAAGGAGGATATCTCCGATGCTGAAGCTTCAAGAGGGATTGTCGCAAAAGTGCGAGATTCATTTGCCTATAATTGGGGTTTCTCCAAAAAATCTAAGAAGTCATATGGCCTTTATTCATTGGTAATTAAAACTTTAAGTTACATTCTGTCGTTTAAACATTTACCAAAATACTAATCAAACTAATTTTTCTTCTTCTACAGTGCTTTCTTCATGATCACACGGCTATTCATTTGTGCACATGTTCTCATACGCTTACCTGGTTACAATTAATGTTGCATACTCCTCCAACCGTGACATAAGAGAAATTGAGTCACAATCTTTTTGAGGTAAATATCATTAAATATGAACTAAAGTAAAAATCATTTCACGTGATTACCCTTGATGCTTGAACCGGTGGAAAGTTTCATACACAATTGCAATTGAAATAGTTTTTTTTTTGAATAAAGTTATTTTTTCATTGGTTTATATTCCAGGATAAATGAACTGGTTGTAAAAGAAAAAAAAATTAAAAGCAGTTTCATGTTGTGTTTGAAACTTTCATGTTCATCATATAAATAATTTGTTGGCTATGTAGAATGAATAATTCGCTGTTTTACTAATAATTCATGTTGTGTTTAATTTTGGCAAAAAACTTTACGGCTTAAACAAAAAAAAATAAGTTTTTTTTCTAAAAAAGAAACTGATTTATTAATAAAAAAATAAGAAAAAAATGTGAATGTTTTTAGAAGTTTATAAGAAAATATTATATCATTAAAGGTTGATTAGATAATATATAAGTTTCAAAACTTTCAGAATTTTTTAAAAATCAGGAAGCCTTTAAATTTGATATTACATTCACAAATTTAGTTTTTCTTGCTATGTTATTTATTCTTTATTTTTCATTCTTAAATCATTTTATCATATCCTTCTAAAAGTAACCATCCATCCGCAGTTACAGTGAACTCTATAAAGTTTGAAAATATAATTCTATTACTCAAGAAATAATTTATGGAAGAACAACATTCATGTTGTAAGATAATTTATAGTATTTCTTGACCGTTATGTTATACCGGTAAATCATTATTACATGTTTGCATCCTAACCCGGTGAAGCCAAACCGAACAGACACACAAAGAGGAGGGCAAAACCGTAATTATCAAAAAATGTCATCTGCTGCAACATCACAAAGCTACCGTTGTCTTTTGTCTGCTCCACTCTCACTCTCTCTCTCACCTCTCACCTCTCACCTCTCAACTATTTCAAAAAAAGCTTCAACCTTTACTCTCTCTCTCTCTCTCTCTCTTCTTCGAATTGGAAGACAAAACCTTTCTCTGATTCTTACCAAACCCCAAACTCACCTGAAAATGAAAAACCCAGAAAAACCCATACTCCTGTTTCTAATCCTAGCTTCAACCTTAGCATCAACCGCCACATCAAAATCAACAATAGAACCCTGCGCAACAACCTCCACATGCAACTCCTTCCTCGGCTACACACTCTACACAGACCTCAAACTCACAGAACTCGCCTCCCTCTTCCAAACAAACCCAATCTCCATCCTCCTCTCAAACTCAATCTCCACCTCCTCCCCCGACGTCGAAACCCACGTCCTCCCTTCCCACCTCTTCCTCAAGATCCCAACCCTCTGCTCCTGCGTCGACGGCATCCGCAAATCCACCTCCACTCGTTACAAAACCAGAACTTCCGACACGTTGGAGTCAATAGCAGACTCTGTCTACGCCGGTCTTGTCTCCCCGGAGCAGATTCAGGTGGCGAATCCGGGGGTTGAGTCTAGGGCTGTGGATGTTGGGACGAGTCTTGTGATCCCTTTGCCTTGTGCTTGCTTTAATGGGACCGATGGGGATGTTCCCGCGGTTTATTTGTCGTATGTGGTGAGAGGTGGGGATACGATGGAGGGGATTGCGAGGAGGTTTTCGACTACTGTTGCGGATTTGACTAATGTGAATGCTATGGGGGCTCCTGATATTAATCCTGGTGATATCCTCGCTGTTCCTTTGCTTGGTAAGAAGGTGTTTAAAGTAGGAGTTTGTGTTCAGACATAAGTAGTAATTACTTGAGAGTGTTGGAATGTTTTTGTTGTTTTGGTAGTAAAGTGTGTGTCTTTCTATCCCTTTTGTTTGATTAGAACGTCCTCAAGTTATCTTTAGTGGTATAAAGTGTCAAATCTATTTATAGGAGTTTGCAATTCAGTGATTAGAATGTTTTGTTGTTTTGTATTGAATCCAATTGAAGTCATCGTCAGTGGCATAAGAGGTGTAAAGTGTTAATCTTTGTATAGGAGTTTTGTACTCAGACATGAGTAACTACGTAGAGAGTGTTGAATGTTTTATTGTTTTGTAGTGAACCTCTTTGATTAGAACGATCTGAATTCAGTTCAGTGGTATAAGATGTGTAACGTGAACCTTTATTTAGACGTTTGCATTCAGACATGAGTAAACCTACTTAAGAGTGTTGAATATTTTGTTGTCTTGTAACAAAACGCCCTGATTAGAACACTCTCAAGTCAACTTCAATGGCATAAGTGGTTTAAAGACTTAGTCTTGTTTTAGGAGTTTGCATTCAGACATAAGTAACTACTTACTACTTAGAGTGTTGAATGTTTTGTTGTTTTGTGTTAAAACGCTCTGATTAGAATGTTCTGAAGTCAACTCCAATGCCAAAAGAGGTGTAAAGTCTTAATCTTTGTTATAGGATTTTTGTATTCAGACATGAGTAACTACGTAGAGAGTGTTGAATGTTTTGTATTTAAACACTCTGATTAGAACGTTCTGAAGTCAACTTTAGTAGCATAAGAGGTGCAAAGTCTCAATCTTGAGCGTTGAATGTTTTGTTTTAAAACGCTTTGATTAGAACGTTCTGAAGTCAATTCAGTGGCATAAGAGGTGTAAAGTCTCAATCTTTATATAGAATTTTGTAATTCAGTGACATCTAACTTACTTAATAATGTTTTGTTGTTTTGTAACATAATCCTTACAGCTTGTGGTTCAAACTTCCCAAAATACGCTACGGATTACGGACTGATCATTCCAAATGGAAGCTATGCTCTCACCGCAGACCACTGTGTACAATGCAGCTGTTCACTCGGAAGCCGCAGGTACTTATTAGCGATTGAGTTCCTTTGTTTAACGTTGAGCTGACGTTTTGCGTTTTTGGTGTGATGCAGTATGTACTGTGAGCCAGCTTCTTTAGATGTCTCTTGCTCTAGTATGCAATGTAGAAACAGCAAGTTCATGCTAGGGAACATCACTTCTCAGGAGACTAGTGCTGGTTGTAAACTCACTACTTGTACTTACAATGGTTTCGCTAATGGCACTATCTTGACCACGTATGTTATTGCATTATCATCCCTCTTGCTAATTGACTTTAAAACAACCTATTTTAACTGATGTCTCTCTCATTGGTTTCGTTTTTCAGGTTATCAAGGTCTCTACAACCTCGATGTCCTGGTTAGTATACTGACAACACATCATGCTTGTAAGAACGAAACCCACTTAATGAAAACCTTGTGGTCTCTGCAGGACCTCCACAATTAGCGCCCCTTATAGCTCCACCTGATACTGTTCCAAAGGAGCTGATGTATGCACCTTCTCCTTCACCTGCACCTTCACCTTCACATGCACCGGAGTCTGATGGTATTGTTAGTGGAGGACCCTCCTCCGCAGTTGCAGCTGCACCAAGAGGACCTACGGTTGCTTCAAGCAGTTCTATTCCGGGCAATCCAGCTAATGGTCCTGCAGGGAGTGTCTCTTTTGCTTCTTGCCCTTCGAGCTATCATGCATTCATTGTGTTCTTGATCGCCTCTGCTTCTTACTCCTTTGTAATATTGGTTTAGTGCAAGATGATATATTACCATTACTCTTTGTTCTTTTGTTTGGTACTTTGATAAACCTCTTGCAAGCAGCCATTCAACAAGAATTTCATTATATTAACTCTTTGGTACACCAAAATTATAACAGTAAATTAATAATCACACTAAGTGAAGGTAAGAAACAAAATATCTTAACGATTCCGGTAGACTACTATGACTCAAACCTCGCCTCAGATCTAGCAAACTCGAACATACACATGCATGCCATATGTAAATGATGAGTTTACAGAAAATAAATTAAACAAAAAAAAGAAAAGAAATTATAAACAGATTTTTTTTAGAACCAAACAATTAATGAATAATAGTTATGTGAAACATTATTATCTTCTCCAAAGCTATAATGTACACTACAGAAACAAGTTCTTAATAAATCACAAGAAACCAGCTGAGGCAAAACACGTTGTCTACCACCAAATAAAAAATACAAGTTTTAAACATATTTTAGTAAATTAAACGAGACTTGCATTTCTCTAATTCCACCTTGAAATGCGCCAAGTCAGTGTGAGGATTTCTCCTGCTTCAACATCGTTATGTGCAAGTGATTTGTCTTCCTTCAAAACACGTCCTGATTTTCTCCTTAACTTCAGTTCATTCGCTTGCATTTGAATCATCTTCGCTATCTTCTCCTTCAAACTCGCCACCTTTTCCAATAACCACGACTCCACTATTATCTCAATCACTTTCCTTCCATCCACCGTAGGAACACAAACCTTAATCCTAGACGTACCCTTAAAAGAAATGTAACCACTGCTAATTAGATACAAGTCAAGTCAAAACACACACAAAGACAAGGTCTCAGAAAAATATTTACCTCTAGGAGAGTACTAGCTGACTCGTCAACCTTTTGTCTCCCTGGCTCTAATGAAATGGTCTCATCATACTGATACAGATGTACTACTAGATGGTTCCCCATTTCCTTAGAAAATTTTTCATCCTCCATCTGAGCAAACAAGTCAATACCCTCCAAGAAACCATACAAATCACCCAAATCATCCTTCATCTCAAGACACTGGAAATACCTCTCAACAACTGTCTCCGTATCAACATCATCGGAATCATTTACTACTTTGGAATATGCATCAACAGCCACCTTATAAAGATGGAAACATTCATCACTTGGCTCCATGAACTTCAAAACTGGTCTCATATCCACTTTCTTCATCAATCCCTTACATATGCGCACCCCATACCGTGCCACAAACACAGCCGTTAGCTTAATAATACCAATCTCAAGGGGTGAGACAGATCCATCAAAGGTAGACGGAAACGATAAGGGAGTTCTCAGAGTTAGAGACTCAAGACCACCACCACCAGTATCCATTTGCGTTAGCCGGTTCATCATCACTGAACGGCGTTCAGGTCCAGCCATGATAGCAGAGTAGCCAGTAACATCCATGCAAGTAAAATACTCAAGACCACTCATAAACGCATACAACTCCATCACAGAGGTACCCACTCCATTTTTCACCTTATTCAACTGAAGGCAACGGAAGAAAAGCTCAATAGCCTTGGCCATATGATCACCGCTTTTCACCACCTTTGTGGAAGTCTTCAATATACAGTAATACACATCAACAAACCCCAAAAAGAGCTTTCTCCTGATATGAGTTAGATTCAGAAAATCAATCTCCGTAGTAGGCGCTATCTTCATCAAAGCCTCCAGAAAAGACATCCCATACATTGTTACAAACTGCGCTGTGAGCTTGATCACACCAAGCTCATCGGGTCTAATCCCTGGAGAAAATGCGTTTTCAAGGAGGTCACACTGGGACTTTGAGCTAAGAGGAGGGTAGTCACTAGTCTTACGTCCCATGGGAAGCAGAACAAGTATACCAGGATGCGTTTGTAGTGTTGGCTGCAGGTTCTTTATCAAAGCTGAAAGGCGTTGAGGTGGTGACATGATACCAGAATAATAAGGCTCGTGTATGTGAGCAAGATAGTCAACACCTGCCACAAAGGCATGCAAATCAATCATAGCCGCCTTCACTCCCTCCTCCAGCTTCTCAAGTTGAAGACTTTGGAAAAAATAACCAACAACATCCTCCCAATGATAATCAACGTTGTTGGCCAATTTAGAAGGCATGATTACATTTGAATAAGCATATACAGTCACATTGAACACATGAGACCAGATTTCAGCTGGCTCCATTGACGGATAATGCGGCCATGAATCCCAACGGAAAAACAGAAAGTCAAAGTGAGGGTTCAAGACCTCTCTCATCATCAGCGCCCGAAGAAAATTCTTTCCGTACCGAGCAACAAACAGTGCAGTAAGCTTAATGATACCTAGCTCCTTGAGTGGAATCCTTACGGGAAACATATACGCTGGAATGGTATCATCAGCTTCAGCTTCAGCTTCAGCTTCAGCATCAACTACACACTCAGGTTGGAAGTAATCCTCATCTAGACCAGCATCAACAACACACTCAGGTTGGAAGTAACCCTCATCTAGACCAGCATGAAACATACAAAGTGAAAAGGATGGCACCACATGAGGAAAAGCATCATTGTCCATGCAGTCAAGACCATACACTAAAGCATGTAAATCGCCGACGTTCTCATGCAGCTTTTCCAACTGAAGATAGCGGAAAAACTCCCCGAGAGCTTCATCAGTATCCAAACCAACATGGAGAGGACTCAAGACTCTTTGATACATAACAACAAGTCCCTGGTAATAGCTGAAGTTCTCGTCACTACACTTCAAAAATCTGAAATGAGGGAACATATACATGTCGATCAAAGCGTTCCAGAACTCTTTCCCATAGCGTGCAACAAACTGAGCAGTGACTTTGATCAAACCGAGCTCGACGAGTGTGATGCCTTCTGGAGGATGGTTTTTGAAAAGAGGAGGAGGAGGAGGGTCGTCCCTATTAGGAGGAGGCTTCACATCATAGAACATAGGTGCTCTGAAATGAATCATCCCAGCTTGGCACTGAGCAAGGTATGCATCACGCTTTTTCCGATAAAACTCATGATATGGATGATCAGCACTCTTCAAAAAACCAGACCTTTCAACCTCTAAGACAATCTTGTCACCAGGAGGCTTGAAAGGTGAATACTCAATACGATGATTAATTTCCAAAATCACCTTCTCAAACTCTAAGCCAACTTGGGCTACAGACCGTGCTGTCACCTCAATCACTACTAAGATTTCTGGAGGTGGTGATGGAGACATCATTCTACAAAATCAAGAGAACACAAGAATCAAGATTTGACCCAACAGCAATAAGAACAAGAACAATAGGAATATTTAAGTATTTTAATATCTATAAACAAATATAATCAATTTAAGTAAATTCTAGTAAATTATTGTTCATACACTCAAAATATTTAATAATAATCTAAACAAATTATTTCTATATATAAAAATTGTCATCATCATATAAATAATTGTCATTACACAAATTAAATGTGAAAATACTCATAAATTTAAAATATTTAGTAATAAATTAATATCATTTTTAGACATAACAAAAAAATATAATAAAATTATCTTTAGTAATGTAAACATCTATACATAAATTCTTTGCGTATTAATTTTTTCATAATTAAATATATATTAACAAATATAATTATTTTCAAGGTTAATAAAGACTTATAACACAATAAAAAAAAAGATAAGGATAATTATCAAATTCATGAAATTCGTTTTTAATTTAGAATTAATTATATATTAACAAATATAATTATTTTAAATATAATTATTTTTCAATGTTGATAAAGACATAATATAAAAAAATAAGGATGATTATCAAATAAATGAAATTCGTTTTAAATTTATAATTAATGATATATTACTAAAAATATAATTATATTTCAAAGTTAATAAAGATTTTATAACCCAATATAAAATAGTTTTAGATAGAAATAAATCTAAAATCATTGAAATTCGTATTTTACTTATGTTTAATTATATATTGAAACTACCCTTAATGACAAAGCAAACATAAACTTAATGACTAATTAAATTTATTACTATATAATGAATAATTAGATTTATTATAATCATTAGTCTAGATAATGATAATCATCAAATCATAAGAAACATGACAAATGAGATTTGTTTCTAATTATTATATAGTAATATATCTAATTAGTCATTATTTAGTAATAAATCCAACTAATCATTAAGTTTATGTTTGTTTTTCTATTAAGGGTAGTAAATCTAATTAATATTTGGTTCATAATTATATAATAATAATTTTATTTAGTCATTAATTAAGAGTAATAATTAATCATTTGTCAAAATCATAAAAAAAACATGATAAATAAGTATCATTACATAAAATTATGGAGAATATGATAAATCAGAAAATTCACTTTTCAAATATAATTAATTTATTGTTACTTATATATTAATTCAGTTTTAGTTTATGGTTTATTAATATCAACTATTTTTAGATAATAATAGTCATCAAATCAGTGAATTTTTTTTTCTAATTTATGGTTGATTATATATTAATTAAATATATTTTTCTGATAACAACACAATATATATATAGAAATTATCTTTTTATTTTATTTTTAAATATATATTTAGATTATGGATAATTCTTATCATTATTATTAATTTAAATCATTTATCTAATAAAATAAATATAAATTCTTTTTTTTATTTTTGGCTGATTTATATATTTTATTCATGAAGGGTATAAACGATATTAACCACTCCAACTTTTAACGTGGTAGCTCCGTTGCAAAAAATCACTTCGCAAATAATAATATAGATTTTTTTTATTTTTGGCTGATTTATATATTTTATTCATTAATGGTATAAACGATATTAACCACTCCAACTTTTAACGTGAGAGCTCCGTTGCGAAAAATCACTTCGCAAATAATAGTATAAGATATGGATGATTAAAGATTTCAGAAAGCTGGACCATTCAACCTCCAATACAGTCTTGTTACCATGCAGCTTGATATGTGCATACTCAGTAAGATGATTAACTTTCAAGATCATTTTCTCCTTCTCTATCCATGCTCTCTTTGGTGTTCTCTCAATCACTATTAAGATTTTTGGAGGTGATGAATCAAGTTATGCCATTTTTTTTTTTATACATGAGGTAACATTTATTTATTCAACTAATAGTCTGCTTATTGTTATATCAAAATAATCTTAAGGAAATGATATTTTTTTAACAAATGACTAAAATGAAATTCATAATTTATAAATGAAAAATGAAAAATGTAAATTCATATAAAATTTATTTCTAAAATTCTCTGTAAATATATAAAATCGTTTAAACTACTTTAAAAGCTACTAATAAATTTAACTAATTTAAACCTACAAAGGACTCGAATTGCAATTGAACAATGAAATTGTCCTTTGGTTACCAAACTCGAGGTGACAAATTTTGAAAAGTCGGTTTGCTTTTCTTCTTTGAATTTTGTGTTTATAATGCAACTTGTAATTGCGTTGTCTACTCTGCATGTCTCGTAGCAACCAAGTTGATCTACAAATGGTTAGTTATCCACATAAAAGGAGAACGAGATAAAATGATTCCAGTACAAATATTAGCAGCTGCTCTTATGATACATCTAATCCTTCGATTAATTTAACGAAAAATATATTAATACGTCAGTTTAATATTTTCTCTGTATTATAAAAAATTGATGTTTTAGATTGTTTATAAATATTTTTTTTAAATTACTTTTAGTTCTTACTTTGTAATTGGTTATACATTTTGTTTGTTTCCAATAAAATTCAACCAGTTATATTTTTTGTGTTTTAGTTTTAAATATAATTTATTAATTATTATCTAAAACATCAATATTTAAAATACATCAACAAAATATAAAACATCAATCTTTTAAATATAGTAAGTGTAATACTAATAAAAAGGCATCAGAATTTTGATGCATTTACTCTTTGAATGTAATAAACAGACTTCATCAAACTCGGCTATTGGCATGCATGTCATGTGGAAGGATGGAATATTAAGAAAGTAAATAAAAAAATGATAAGTATCGTCCACAAATATTCGAAAGTACTCCATTTCAGTAAATTGTGATAATCAATAATCTAAATAACTAATGGTTAGTTGACAAAATAAAACAACTAATGGTTACTGGCAATGATGCTAATTATTGGCTGCGTGAATAAGTTGTATATTGAATAGCATGGCAGCCTTAATATGTTGTTGCACCAAGCAAATAATTAAATTACGTGTCATAATGAGTAAAAATTTCAATAATTTCAATAAATGCTTTTGACTCATAGCTTATAGGGTAATCTTTAATGCGAATTGATTTTTCATTTATAGGCCACAGTACATTTTCTGTTTATAGAGCTTGAAAACTGGACCAACTGTTTTTTTTTTCTTAGAGGAATTTGCATGTTGAGTAGTTAGAGAGGAGACTTCCGTCCTTTGAATTAATGTCCAAACATTTTCAGTCAAACTGCCGATGTAAGCAAAATAACCATGACATACTTTACATGCCACTAATTTCCAACGTATCAAGTATGTTTATGCATGTATAAAAGCTAGAAAATGTAGTAATGTACATACATATAAGAAGGGATATGGATGTATATCTAAAACAGAAATTAAGAACAATATCCTCTAATGATAGTTATGATGAGGACACATGCATGGTTTCTTAAGTTTCAATGTTGATATTATTAGGGATAATATATCCCACATCGGGAATTCAATGGGACCTTAACTAATATATAAAGGGTTAGGGCCAATCCACTTATCACCAATTGGTTTTAAGTTGGAAGCCCATAATAAACCCGAATCTAACATGATATCAGAGCCCAGATCCTTAAAAACCCCGAAACTCCTAATTAATTGATTAACCCTTCCGACCGGGTATATAGGTTGTGTTTAACCTTCCGACTAGGTATAATTGTCGTACTTGACTCACTCGACCGAGTATAACTGTCTTAAAGTTCCGAGATTTCTGGCCGATAAGAGCCATCATCTCGAGGAGGGGTATTAGGGATAATATATCCCACATCGGGAATTCAATGGGACCTTAACTAATATATAAAGGGTTAGGGCCAATCCACTTATCACCAATTGGTTTTAAGTTGGAAGCCCATAATAAACCCGAATCTAACAGATATCATGACGCGAGCTGATTACAAATAATTTAAACGTTATTATGTTATTCATAATTTCATATGATCATATCCAAAATAAGATTGGATATAACTCGAAACTTGAAAGTATGAATGAGAAGAATGAATGACTCGAGATGCTGACCTATGACAATATATATTTCGATTGTGCTTTAACTGAAAAATCAGTGTAGTACATAAGATGACGCATTGAGATTGAATTGGCGCGTACACTCAACAATATTATTATTTAATTTTAATATAAAAATACTAACATTATTATTCATTTGTTAAAGCATATCTATTATATTATTTCTTTGTTAAAAAAATATTATTTCACACACATGAAAAAACCATGGTTTTTTACAAGAAATAAATAAATACACATATGTCTAGACAAAAATAAACGTTAATTTGTTTTTGAAATAACAATATGATAAAATAGTGACGTAGTTTAAAAATAAAATCTACACTTTACAATCGTAATTCAATCGAATAGTTATGTAGTGCAGTCATTAAGTGATGATAAAGGTAATGTTTGTACATGTAACTAGATTAATTAAACTATAATTTATAAAATCTTTAAAAAAATAATTCCTTCACTTAAAAAATATAAAGGTAATAGTTTTTTTTTTTTTTGTCATCAACAATTCACCCATAAAGATAATAGTTTATACATGCATAAGGTAAAGTTTCCAAGAAGTTTTGAATTGTGGTAACTAATTTGGTCAGATCACTACAGTAGCAAACAATATAGATCCACAGCTTTTTGTGTTTTTAGTTTTTTACTTGATATGTCTACTATCTACCTTTACGTTGACAAGTCTGGGTTCGAAGAATCTTCCTCTTTCTTTAGTCATAGTAAACTCATAATATATTGATAGTATTATAATCATTTTTTTCCTTAAGATAAAAGGAGATCAAATCAAGTACCAAAACCAAAACCAAACACAGATTCGATTTTAAGATTGCGTATTTTTACTAAACTAAACAAATCTATATGTCAGTGAATCAGATCAATCATCCACATAAGTTTTGTACCCAAAAAAAGATGAACAGAAACATGACTTCTTCTATATACATTTACATTCTTAGTTAAAAAAAAAAAACTTCTCATAGTTTCAAGATCACAGGGCTACAATAAAAAAAAGACACCCTTTGTTAATGTGACTTTGTCATATTCATTGTTCACAAAGTTTACCATCCATCTGATTTTGAACCGCTTTCACAGCTGCAACTCTCGCAGCCGTTGCAGCTTTGTTTGCCGCAGCTACAGCTCTCACCACCTCCTCATCCACCCGTCTCTGATTCACTCCTCTTCTCCCCATCTCTCGTGCACTCTGCAATTAATTTAAGTATCTTTAAATTTTAGTGTTCTAAAAATAGTGTTTTAAGCAGCTAATCTGTCACAAAAACAATTAAAAAAAAAAAAAAAATTCAATCTAGGAGGCGCCACGCTAGTCCCTACTATGTGTAAATTTCCTAACTAAAGTTTCACCTCTAGACACAAAAAAAAAAAACATTTTGACTGAAGTTTCATCCTTTTAAGTGAAATATATACCTGAACAGCTTTATGAACCGGTCCGGTTTCTAGAGAAAGCCGGTTAACAAGATGACCATCATCCCATTCACCACACTTTGCATCTCCAGTTCTAAACCCATACGTACCAAACCCTTGTTTACGACCTTCATGCCAAGCTCCTTCATAATAATGACCATTAGCAAAATGATAAACACCAAACCCATGAATCTTATCTCCATAATACTCCCCTGCGTACTTATCTCCATTCCTACAAAACAAAAACTCAAAACTCAAAAAAAAAAAAAAAAAAAAAAACAGAGAGATCCGTACATGTAACTAAAAAATATATTTATTACCTGAACTGGTAAGATCCAAGCCCATGTTTAACACCAAACTTAAACTCTCCGACATAAGAGCTACCATCAGCACATGTCTGAACACCAAAGCCATGACTCTGACCATTAAACCATTCACCCGAGTAAGAATCTCCCGTGTAAAACCAGTAAACTCCATAACCATGTCTAGTTCCTTGCTTGTACTGTCCTTTATACTTACTTCCTTTAGACCAAGACTCAATCCCATAACCGTCGTATCTTCCGTTAACCCAATCACCTTCGTAACGTCCGTTAACGTAATAATAATAAACTCCACTTCCGTGACTTCTTCCTCCGTTAAACTCCCCTTCGTATATATCTCCGTTACTGAACAACTGAACTCCTTCCCTAACGAAGTTTCGGTTCTCTTTGAACTGTTCCGGTTTAGAATCGCCGATGTACCATTGAACCGGTTTCGGTTTGGTTCGTAGAGTTAATTTTTTTCCGGTTTGTTTGATCGCGAGTACGGTTTGGTTTATAACCGCCATGTTTCGCGACGCGAAGAAGAGAGCGACGGCGAGGAAGATTAAACCGAGGAGGAGATTCTCCGATGTACCGGTTTTAGAGAAGAAGAGAGAGAAGAGTAAGAAAGACGTTAGAGTGAGTGTGATGGTTAGAACCGGTTTGATTCGGTTTAATCCGGTTCGGTTAATTGAATTACTCTGTTTTTTGCTTCTCCTCTGTTTCTCCTCTTTCTCTCCTCCGGCTTCGAGATCGTCGTGGTGAGAGGCTTCGGTGAGATCACGGAGGCTGTGAATCGACGATCGAATCGTCGGAGATGATCTGAGAAGCGACGATTGAGTTCTCGTGAGTTTCGATTGGCTCATCTCTCCGAGATTGATCACCACCGTTGCGCCGCCGTGTCGAGCATCGGAAGCGGGGAAGAAAGTGAGAAGTTTTGTTTTCCGGTGCCGGAGAGTGTTAATTCACGGCGAAGCGAAGCTCACTTTGCTTAGAGAGATCGAAAGAGAGAGAGAGAGAGGAGTTTGTTTGGAGCTTATTTTAATAGAGTTAGATTTAATATTGACCGTTGGATGGAGATCTGACGGTTGATTAGGAAAAGCGAGGAAGATTAGCCGTTGGATGGTGAGTAAGGGAAGAAGAAGTCCCGGTCTTGACGGGACGCTTTTTAGCTTTACTGTTGCAGGCCGGCACGTGCCGCCACACACACATATCTATTATTAATGTTATTTTTTGTTTTTATTAATAATTAAACATTTCGTGTTAAGAAAATCTCTGATTTATTGGGAGAATTTTCTTTAATTTATATAACAGTTGTTTGGTGAATGTTTATAAATGCTAGTAAATAGTCATAGTAAAATTATGTTGATTTTTTAATCCAGATGAACCATTTATAGATGATAATTATTTGGATAAGTTTTTCTTGCCGACTATTTAGATAAGTTTTTAGAAGTTTAGATAAAATTTAAAAATCAGTTGGTTAAATAAAATTACATAATTTATATGGAGATGGTTCAGTTAAAAATTGGATCATGACTATTTTCTACAACAATTTAACTTTAAAAAATAAAAATAAAAAGAAAAATAAAACTCAACTTTGCTGAAATATCTCTGCCTTTAGGGAGGAATTTTCTATATTCATATTACAGGTTATTTAGCCTTTGGAAAGAAAATTTATAAATGTCAGTATATATTTATAGTAAGGCTTACTTTATTTATATAAAAGCGTAGACTAAAATGAGTCGTGTGTAAAGATCAACGATTCATATTGGGTATAGTTGGTGAAAACTGTAAAGTGTAGGTGATCTACCACATCGCACGGTGGATATGAATTACTTGATACGGAAATAAATATAGGAATAAAGTGGAGAAATCAGAAAAAATGGGTTTGGATCAAATTGTGAATGAAAGCAAACATTTTACCAAACATCCTCGCATGGTGCACTCCGCATTAGTAGGCCTCTGAACTCTTCTTTTCTAATAAAATTCACATGGGATAGTAGTTATATAGTGCAGATACATTCACATTATATATGGAGATATCTATTAGGAAAATATATCTGTTACACTAGTTTTATCTCTCAAAATACTAAAATATGAAGAAAACACAAAAGTAAAATAGAGATATGGAGATAAATGGTTATTATTGTGAAACTTACCAAAAAGAGCAAAGCAATCTTACAAGTTATAACGTTTGCTTTTTACTAATCAGTTTAGGTTTTTATCATCTGAAAATAATTATTTAATTATATTTATGATAAACTTATTATTGTTGTATTTATGAGATACTACTTTGAGTATATATGCCTTTATGATGCTCTAAATATGTTTGTTTAGTATTTGATTAATTAAGGTAACCTCGCTTTCATTAAGATCTAAAAAGTCTTAAGTCCTAAATGTGTTCAATTACCTTTTAACTTTCGGCATAGGAAAAGATAATCCGACCCAAACAATACAATAATCACATCATATGCAGTATTTCAAAGAATATTCAACCTTAATTTATTAATTAACTAAATCAAGGACTTGCAAAAGACTAATTAAACTAAACAAGTCAATACATAAGATGAAAAACAATGCCTACTTATTTACTCATTTTATCATATGAACTTATTTTATTAGCTTGCTTTACTGAATCAAAGTCTCTTTTCAAATGAAACCCAAAAAGACCCACAACAACATTATAGTTAGGTTTTCAGAACATCTTCAAACTTTAGACTGTTCCCTTAAGCTCCAGCTCCATCCTCTCTCTCAGCTCCACTATATAAGCAATATCTGTTTTTTTAAAGAATGTTAAATTAATTCAACCGATGTTACTTCTCTTTGAAAGTGAAATCGAAACCAAACCTAGCTTTACATCACATTAGTATTTATGTAACGTCTCTTCGTCTTTACAGAACGCTAAAATATAAAGTTCTTGTGCGTATAAGAGATCAAATAACACATGTCAATGTTTTAATTAGGATCTACACTTCTCTAAATAACAAACGAGAAAGATGCTTTTTTACTCAACGAGTAGGAAAAGACTTAAAAGATGAGAACCTGGTTGATCGATGATATATATGAGTATTAGTGTAAGATGTAAAAGACATCGTGGGTCTGTACCCGCATGAACAAAGTGGAGATCCAAATTTTCGGACAGAGGTAATAAAACAAAACAGTCGAATTGACAGAACATCAGCTTCCAATATTGCAAAAGCAGTGTCAAAACAAATATGAATTCAGAATTTTAATGGCTTTAAAATTCCAAACACGAGAATCGAAGCACACACTTTTCATCATTTTGATTAACACAGGAACTATATATCACTAAGAAAACTAAGACCCCACGAAATGATCACCTAGTCGCAAGGCAGGCCCTGTGTGCTAAAGCTTATTGAACGATAGCTTTAGGAGCCAAAAATTATATGTGATTTAAATGCATCAGGTTTTTTTAGTATAATGGTTTAGGGTCCAAAAAAAAAGTCTTTTATCCTTTAGGCGGCTAAAAGCCGTGCTGCCCCTGCATGGCATGCATGGCCAGGTTTCTGAGTTTGCTAAGTCGACTCGTTTTGGGGTCGAAATTGTGGGCATGGTAGCTCCGGTTTGAGAAAATGGGAGAAGAGAAGATATGAAGCTTTTTTTTATTTGTTTAAAAGAGGATATGAAGCTAAAAACAAGTTTTTGATGTTTTTCATTTGTACGTCAGTGGGAATTTACAACAAGACTCATGATTTGTGGGCCAAGTCGCTTTGAAGATGACGCCACCAAGTTTTTTAAATGGGTTTGGTATAAAATCTTATGGTGAAAGAAGGAGAAAGCTGGCTTCGACTCCACTTACTCTTTGTGGCTTCAGGTAGGCCTTTTGTGTCGCCAAGTTGTTAAAGTAATCTAGCTTTTCAAATATCTCTTGCAATTGATTAATGTTGGATTTTTTTTTAATCAAGATCCCTCTTAAATCAGTAAAATAATAAGTAATCAGAATATCTACTGCCAAGAGTCTTACAGCTTCTTTCATGTGAAGTACCAAATCTTCTTTCATGACTCCAAAGAAGTGCCTGTGCTCTGTTCTTTTCTCTAATTTAGAGACCCAAGATTCTAAGTCTTGAACCCTCTGGCCTCAAGCTCGTGTATATTCTTTTGGCCTTAATGCTCTTCTAATTACGTAAACTGAAACATATACAACTAAGATTTAATGTTGTAAGTTTATTATAAGAGACTTGTTTTCTCTATCAATGGAACAATACAAGTGAAAAGTCTTGTAATGATTTCGACCAACCCAAAACTAAAACATATTGGGCAAGCAGAGATCCATGGAAACAAAAGAAAACGAACACACATTTTAAAAAACACAACTTCGAACCAATGAGGGAAACCCAACCGAACCAAAAACAACGGCAAGTTCCACGATTGGTCTCCATGTATCTACTACTGAGAGCTGTTTTCATGATTTGTTTGTTGTTTACTTTCAGCAACTGTAATGTGAAAAAATATATATAACAGCTGCTGTATAATAACCTGGTATCTTCAGAGATCATTTATAATATGAAGTCATGTAGAGTCTCGCTCCTATGTCGAGCGGACCATCATCTCCACCAACAGCGTGAAGAGCCACAGGAATGGTCGAGAACACTTGTACGGTCAAAGGAAAAACCGCAGGAACAACAACTTCTTCTCTCCTCTCGGTGGTGTCGGTAACAGACATTGCATTGTACTTAGCAACGCATGCGTCACTAGGACTCACCAAATACGCAACATCTTTCAAGGGCTTCAAATAGCCTCTTCCACCACCTCTTTTGAATTCGAGTTTATCAAGGATTAGGGTTGATGTTGCCTCGAGCCAGTCTGCACACAAGCCTTCGATTCGATCGTAGAATATTCTCCTTTCAATCTGTAACATCAACGTAAATTGTAAAAAAAAAAAAAAAAATTGATTAGTTTTATATAATGGTGAATGAATCAGAGTAGAGACTTACGCCAAGCTTGCTAATGTAAATAGTCATAAACATTGGTCCTAAGTTCATTACTCTAGCTTCACATGCAAAAACCTGCAGAGAAAAGAAACAAAATGAGATTAATCAACAAACATAAACATAAGAAGCTTCCCTATGATGCAGAAGTTTCTAATTTTACTTACCTTTTTACTCTTTAGAACACACCAAGTGTAGAGCTTATCACATGCATCTTTGACTCTTCGAGACGCCAGCTTCCTCTCATTGCAATAAGCAGCGATTTTAGAGAGCTGTTCAGTGGAGGGAACACCATGTTTCAAACCAGCGATTGATAATGCTTCTTTGCCCTCCATAGATTCTACAGCATCTTTATCGAAATGAACACCGGTGAAGCAGTTTCTCACTTGATTAACTGATATTTGCTTCTGCTTTAAGAAGCACTCCTCAGCTTCAAGGGCAGCCGCTACGGCACGGTGAACAACTATGTCAGGGTACCGTCGAAGAGGAGATGTAAAGTGAGTATAGAGAGGAACAGCTAGTGCGTAGTGTCCCCACTCAGCAACGTTGTCCCTCAAGTTCCCGGTGCAGAAGTAAGAGGCAGATTGCATTGGTTTCATAGCATAGTTGTTGATAATGTCTATAAAAACTGCATCATCCTTGAGTGTTTCAGTGATTTTCTCCAATGACTCATGGAACCGGCCGGAAGAAGAACCGTCCAACTCCATACCATGCTTTAAACAAAAGCCTTCAAACTCTTTGAGCTTGCGCAGATTAGGTTCTGGATGCCTCCGGAGCAATGCACTGTCAGGAAAAGCTCGAAAAATAACCTCAGCTGCTGTCATGTTTGCTAAAAGCATAAACTCCTCAACGAGATGATTTGAAGCCTTTGATGGGTACAGTACAAAATCATACGGAACTCCATGTTCATCAAAGAGGAAAGAAGGTTTCGAATTCTCCAGCTGCAAAGCTCCATTTCTAAACCTTTTCTGCCTTAAATAGGTGGAAACCTCATTGAGCTGTTTGATTGATCGAACTACATCACTCCACATAAAAGGTCCGTGC